TTGCCTTTTTAACTGTTGATAAAACTGAATTAAATGCCTTTTAGATCAAAGTTTAGATTTAGGGTCCTTTTGTTTCGTCGGATAATTATTTTTGAAAACTACTTTCTATATTTTTTGCTGTTTAGGTACCATTTCAAAATTAGGTCAATGAAAATAAACTTTGGTTAAAAAAAAAAGAAAAAAGAAGAAGCTAAACTTGACTTTTCATAAATCAAGTTCTGAATTTGAATTTCGGAAGTTAATTTCTCCAAAAACATGCGGGCCGCCAGGCCCAAAGCTCCGTCTAACGTTGTTGCTAGCATTGCCAAGCGTGAAATTTTAGCAAATTGAAGTTCTGTTACTTTATTAAGCAACATAAATAAATTGTTTTAAAAAGAATTATTTTAAAATCTAACAGAGAGAAGAGAACGCACCAAAATTTCCGTGGTGGGTGAGTTTCAGTCGTTGGTTTAGGTGTTGGGCTTTAGAATTGTCTTGGGGTAGGGAATGGATATATCTTGGTTAGTTGAAAGGTGCCTGTTTAGTCCAATATTGCATGATCGTTGGATACGTGTTTGATTGCTGGTTGGGTTAGTTGCTGATAAAATAACTGATAAGGTGGGTCTAGGGGATGGATAGGATAGTGACCGACAGAGATTTTATTTGACAACACCTTTTAATATATATATATATTTTTTTAATTTTTATATTTTTATTATTTTAAAAATATATAAAATATTAATTAAAATAAATATTAAATTTATAAAAAAATATTTTATATATTTTTAAGATGTTAAAAAATTAAAAAACTTATTAATGACTTAAATAATTTAGTAGTAATCTTTTTTCGTTAAGAGTAAGAGATCCGAAATTCAAATCACATGGCATCTATGTGAAATGTGATAAGAAATAAAAAAGGATTACATCTCATTGCACAATCAATTATCAAAAAAAAAAAAAAATCTAAAAAACCTACAACTATAGTTGTAGATTAATATTGTCACGCTAAACCAGAAACGATATTGCAATGGCCAAAGGTCTAATTATTAGTAGTATTAGATTAGATAGATGGATAATAATAGAAATGAAATAATACATTTTAAAAATAATTTGTTCTTAATTTTTTTAAAAATTTAATTGATAAACACTAATATATTATTATTTAAAAAAAAAAAGAGAAAAAATCATTGCAAAGATGGATCATCATGAACATCAGTGAAAGTATTGTTAGGCTTTATATTGTTATATATATACAAATACATAAATGAAATTCAGTAGGGAAATATAAGTCCAAGTTGGTGGCCCAATGAGTTTCAAATTCAAACTGCCTTTTCCTTCTTATAAGGTCCAACTAGTGAACTGGACATCTTAGGTGGTCCATAGCAAAAGCCTAAAGCCCAAGGTCATTTATGCTGATTTCCTTTGAGAAAAATAAACCAACCTTATTCCGATTGCATTCGTGTCACGGTGAAACCAGAGGGAAAAAACAAAAATTTCTCACTTTATTTTAATATTATTCCAAAAAAAATAGGGAAAAAATATGCATGATGATTTGTATGGGCAAAATACAACCAATTAAGCATCACAAACTCTAGCAAAAGTTATATTTACTGTCGGAAATCCACTCGCTTCAGTTAGGATTCAGCTTTTGCTTCATTTCGAACTCCCAAAACAGACTGCCGCCAAACAAAACATGAACCTCATCACATTAGTACACAGCACTTCCAGTACGTATGCAAGAACATAATTACCCTCATGCACCACAGAATTGATCCTAGAAATGATTATTGCTACATAATTCATCTTGGTGTTTATCCTTCTACATGTAAGATGAAAGTACAATTGTAACTTACCGAATTAAGAAGGTGAAGAGCAGCAGGCCTTGTGAATTTTCTGGCAAAGAGGAAACACGGGGCTGGCTTCCCCTTGCTGGTACACCATTCTCTTCTGTACTCAGTCTCATAATAGATATTATCAATTTCCTGTAAAATTCATCAAATTTGTTTTGTTGTTACCCTCATTGCAGTATATTTACAATTTATTCTTCAACTTTCAATTAATTAATATCCCCTAGATGTCATTCAAATTGATCTCCAAAGATTCTGTGGAACTAAAATGTCAAGAATCAAGTAATTGCTCTTAATTCTCTTTCAAATCAGATTGAAAGAACTGCATATCTGACCACTTGTTGCAAGAATATTGATAAAGTTGTGGCGGGCATTTGTCCTTTCATTCTGTCCCCTTCTTTGTGAGTATTAGACACTAATGCCTGTTTGATACTACTACAGTTAAATAAGGAGCTCTGTGATTTTGATTTAGAGATCCTTGAAGTTTTGAGACATAAAACGTTTTGAATATGTATGCATCTTTTCAGTTTGATAATGTTGTAATAGCTTGCAAATGCTCTAGCATTTTTGAACTAATGAAAAGGTGTTTGCATGCAGAAAGTAGAGAAATAATTTAAGACATATTTGAAACATTTGAAATTGCAGAGGACCTATGAGCACCAAATTTAGCAAGAGAGATATATACCTTGATAGATTTAATAAGCAAGGGGGTCGCATCAGAAAACTTATAAGTCACAGGATGCCAGCCACGGCGTTCGCGATCTTTAGAGGCTGAAAGATCCCATGCTGAATAGGTCAATGATCTTCGTGTGATTTCTCCTTCAAGGCCTTCTTGCTGAATTATGAAAGACAAGGCATATTAGGAAAAATCAAAATATTGTTAGAAAAAAAAAGAAAAAGAAATGTCTTTTCATTCATAATCTGGTGCTGGAAAAGCTTTCCTTTCATGTTTCATGCATGAAGTTATGCATTTTCTTTCAAGGAGGTGTAAAAGTTAATATAAATTTAGTGCGAAAAAATAGTAGAAACTTAGTTTGTTATGATAGTGCATGTGATAGCTTTCCGTAAGAGGGTTTGAAACTAACTAAAAGAATCAGACAATTTCAATTCCTTTATCAATTAAAAAAAATAAAAGTTTGATGAGGGATCCATCTTACAGCCAGCAATGTCGGAACGTAATGTTCGTCTGGTATGCAATTATGCTCCTTGGCTGGATCAACTGGCTACACATTGTAAGAAGTTAAGATTAAAACTTGATACTCAAAGTACTATCAATAAACCTTCTCAAAATTTTCTTTTAAAATCAGATATTGACTTACAAAAGGACTCTCTCTCCAAAACTCTGGTAGTGATCTCCTCTGCATTATCACAATTGGGTGTGTAAATTTTGAGAAAGTAATACAACATAAATAACCAGCTCATATTGTGAGTGTGTTTAAGGTAATAAGGTTCATGAGCTTTATGGAGAAATAATCTAGCCTGCAGACAACATCTTCCTGGTAGATTGACAGGGTTCTTGTTTATAGACAATTTAAAATAATCACATCGTAGAACTGTTAAGACTTCTATGAGACATCAGTCAGCATGCAACTTTGCCCATAATGAATAAGCACCAACAGAAACAAATGTGTGTTGTGCTCTACAGTGACTACAAACATGATCTGCTTAAAAAGAATCATCATGAAAATGATTTTGAGATAACTAACCTTGCAATGCTGTTGAAACATGGGAAAAACAGTAGAGTCATTGACAACAACCTCTGCATGCTTTCTGGTCAGAATGACCCACTGCAGGATGGCAAATCATCAGTTTGATATCACAAATGTCAGCAAAATTATCTTGTAACAGAAAATGCCAAGCTTTTTCTATCATTTTGTTTTTAAGTTTTAATACATCAGAACACCAGGAAAACATTAATGAAGCAAATTAAATTGTTACCTGAGATCCTTTTCTCCAGTTACGAACAGGAATAACAGGAAACATTTTTGGGTTGTACCGACCCTCCTTTGCATCAGCAAAGCTGCTTCCAACAATTCATTGAGATACAGACAATTAATATTCATGAGTGACAAGCATTCAAACATTCAGAAAACCTAACATCAAAATCACATTATTGTAAACAAGCTGTGGATGAAACCACTGCAAGAAGCCATTTCATAAGGTTATAATTACTATTAACCAGGTGAATAGATAATGCCTGTACTACTAACCTGTCTACAAAACTAGTTGATGTCGACATGATATAGCTATACGCATAACTGAAGTTGTAAAGAGGTATGCAGCTGAGAATAAATAAACTAAAATAAAGTTAAAAAATATCCGAAAATAGCTTTCTCTTGACTACTTAAGTGAAAGCACCACTGAGTATCCATCATTTGAATCAGTCCTGACTCCTTACCTGTCTGAAAGAAAAACAAAGCGTTCATTTAAAGGATCCATCAATGCATGTCTAAGCAATATACGCTCCGCCTCAATCATGCTTGCTTCTCCCCAATCTACCTGAAATAGAAATTTTGAACTAAATCCTACAGTGTTTGTTGAGTCGTAACTAACATTACCAACCTATGCTTGGATTTTTGAATCATAATTCATTTCAAGAATTAGATTTAGAAACACTTGCCTTTATGCTATCATTAACTTGACGATTTAAAAAATGTTCAGATCTTGTGGTTGCCTTGTTGAAAATAAATCCAGGCCTGGAGTGAACGTAGATTGAAAAACTGGTTTCTTCCTGCACCAAAATAACATATGTGTTTAAGCCTAATTGCATAATTAGCATTCTCAAAAAAGGCAAATTCCTCAATAAATCAAGTAGGTGAAAAGTTACCTTAAGAAATGCATCCCAAACAGTATCTAGAGGAAGGCGATTTCGCGCGATGAAAAGAAATGCTATCTTCTTCTTCTCAACCAAACGGTGGCGCAGAGCAGAGAGCGACACGATTTGCGTGTGCTGCGTCTCCATCAGCACCAAGCTCGCACAACAGAAGGCCGCCAGCAGCAACGCCAACAGCTTTCCCTTCCATTTGTGCCGCGATTTCTGCTGAGTCGCCTTCCTCCTCGCCTCCCTCATTCTCAGTTCAACTCCTCCTCCACCATTTCTAGGTTTTCATCATCAAATTCAAACAGAAAATCAAAATCTGACATGCAAAAGCTGGAATGAGATGTCAGCTTTTATCTTCCTTATGCTCTCAGCTGCTGATTCTTAACCACTGACTCGAGATTTGAGAACGGAGATCGTAAATTAAGTTATCAGGACGCGAGATTTTCCGTATGGAGATTCAGTTTTCGTCGAAATGTGGTTCGAATTTCAGTGGAATTCAAGCGAATTCAACATCGGATTGCATCGGGAAGCTTGTGAAGAAGAAGAGTTGGATAGGAAATGGGAATCACGCGAAGTTTGGTTTGATTCAAAAAGATTTTGAACATTAATAATTGAGACGAAAGACCAAGACCAAGAGAAAGAGAAGCTGTTGAGAAAGAAAATTCTAAAATGAAAGTGAAGCTTCACTGAGCTCCGGCTTTTCAATTTCTGGTGGGGGAAAGGCAACGATTTTTGATTCGCTGCCAGGTTGCCTGATAAGTAGCGAATTTCATCAGCATTTTTCTTGTGGTTAAACCCCAATTTGGTATCTCAATTATTGTATAAACTCTTAATTTGATCCCTAAACTAAAAACTTTTTTGATTTGATCCATATTATTTACCAATTTGACTCTAAATAGATCTTTCATATAAAAAAATTGACGTATCTTATTGTTAACATGACACATAACTATTAAGAAATAAATTTTTATCGTTAAGTAATAAATACATTAGTTATTTTTTAATAAAATGATCAATTTAGAGTTAAATTAATAAATAATAAGGATTAAATCAAGAATTTATTTAGTTTAGAAATCAAATTGGAAATGTATACAGTAATTAAGAGACTAAATTAAAAGTTTAACCTTTTCTTTTCAATTTTTGCCTATCGCTACGCATGTAAGGTGTAACTTTATCATATGGTAAAATATAAAGTGTTCATATGTAATATATTCGTATCTAAAATTTAAGATGTCATTTTTATAAATTTTATTTAATAATTTATGTTATGTGATTTTAAGATTAAACACATATATTATATTAATAAATTAAAAATATTCAATAATCATAATATATTTTTCGAACGAAGAAATTAAAAATAAACACTTTTCCTTTATCAATTTGTCACATGATATTTGCAAAATTTGCAATTTTGTTATTGTCCAACTACTACATAATAAAAGTGGAATCAATAAATGAATTAAAAGTGCACATAAAAGCAAGAAAATGAAGGGATAACTAACAGGCTGTTATGAATTTTGAATGAATGATTTGTTGAGACTGTTTTGCCATTTTCTATGGCACGTCAAAGGAGCTTGGATTTATTAATTCCAAAGTAAAGTAACTACCAAGTTGGGAAATGTAATGTCTCCATCTGAAAAATCATTAGAGAAATACTATTTTAAGTACAACTCCTCAAACAAAAAGATTATAAGAGTAAATAATTTGTTATAATTAGAGGATGATATCGTCATACTCTATAATATTAGTATTAAATTAAATATATTTTTTAATTATTATACTCACGAAAGAAAATAAAAGTTGGTAGGAATGATATTTTTAAAAATTCAAAAACTCATTTTTAATAATTTAGAAATCATGATTTTCTACCATCAAAAAGAGAAGAAAAAAAAATAATGTTTTTTATTAAAAAAAATTGTTCAACAATAATGAAAAACTCAAAAGCGGTATTGGGTCATGGCAGCAAGCCCACAGGCCACAACCAGTTTAGCAGAGGCCCATCTTTAACTTATTATCCCTTCAACGTCGGCGTGTATTGAAGTCAGGAAACTGAGCTCTGGCTAATGCCAATCATGTCGGTACAGTCGACATCCGTCTCTCAGACTTTTCCCGTCAAAAGGTGCTGGATTTCGGTTTCATTCTGTTCAATTCATGCTTCGTTTCTTGAATATTTTATAACCCATCTGTTTTTCTATTAAATTTTTGTCATTACAGTCCTTCTATTGCTGAAACTGTAAGAAAATCTAAATGGGTACACTTCAAATCCTTGAAATTTCAAGGAAACACCTTGAGAAGCAACAATTTCTCAGCTAGGTCGGCCTTTAATGTTGAAAATGGGGGATTCAGAAAGTACCGACATGGGGTTGGGGAAAAAGATGGAGTAGTCATCGTTGATCATGGGTCACGCCGTAAAGAGTCCAATCTCATGCTAAGTAAGCAATTTTTCTTAACCTTCTTAAATTGAGTATTTTGATTTTTTTTTCCACCACCTAATTGCTTAATTTTGATGAGTTTCAGATGAGTTTGTGAATATGTTCAGAGAAAAAACTGGGTATCCAATTGTAGAACCTGCTCATATGGTAAATATTTTATTTTTAATCTTTTTTTTTTTTTCAATTTATTTGTCTTCAATAATCTTGTTTTATGTTGGGAAACTAAATTCAAATGTTATGTTTACATTGCCCTGGCTTACACTCCTAATAGAAACTGAGTTTTCAAGTTATTATTTGGGCCACTGCATTTAGCTGCATTGCCTGCAAGTATTTGGCTTTATGGGTAGAAATCATGACCTCCTTTTTTGCATAGTGTTAGCACCTCTTTACTTCTTTCATTTAATGTAACTAGGAGTTGGCAGAACCGTCTATAAGAGATGCATTTGCTTTATGTGTTCAACAAGGGGCAAATCGTGTTATTGTAAGCCCGTTCTTTCTCTTCCCTGGACGGCATTGGCATCAGGTGAATCACTGTAGTTTCCTTTGAGGATTTTTGACATAATTTTTCATGATAAACTGGAGTTGGTTGGGTCACACTGTTTGCCATTTTGCAGGACATCCCATCCTTAACGGCAGATGCTGCAAATGAGTACCCTGATGTGCCATATATCATAACTGCACCTCTTGGCCTCCATGAGCTACTTGTGGTATGAAAATTCCTGAATCTCAAAAAAATACACAAATAAAAAAATAAGAGCAGTGCTAGGGGTACTCGCCTCTTGCACTCTCCGGCCAACACTTCCCCTTTCATTGGGCCACGTAAGCTTGTTTCAAGCTTTGAGGTGCAACCTCTTACCGACCAGAATAATGTGGCCCAATAAAAGTGAAAGTGTTGGCCGGAGAGTGCAGAAGGCGAGTGCCCCTAGCACTCCTCAAAAAATAATAACCTCCTTCAAATGCAAAAAGAAATCCTCCCTTTTTTATCAAATACACCCCTTTGATCCCTTTACTTGGTACATCATCATCCTTATAGATATTCAAAAAGGTAATAGAATTTGGCTTGCCTTATATTCATAGGATGCTTAGTTTTACACTTTGGCTTCTGCAATATGATATATAGCATTGTTATTTGCTGAAAAATGAAGTATAATGGCTTATTTTCAATTCCTTTTATCTTGAAATATAAGCTGCTTTTTTCCCTTCTTTTCTCAGCTAGGAACACTGTTTCTGCTTCGGAATGATTTTATTGACAAATGTCAGTTGATGAAGATTGGTTTATGTGGCAGGATGTTATAGATGATAGGATCAGGTACTGCTTAAGCCAGGCAGCGGGAGATGTAGATGAATGTTCAGTTTGTGCAGGAACAACCAAGTGCAGTTTCCATTGACTTGAGAGAGTCAATTACCTATTTAGTTGGAAAACTTGAGAATCGATCAAATGGCATGTGCATGCAATTTTGTGCATGGTGTAACTCATCAAAACTTTCCCAATTTTGTCTTTGTATTTGTTTTTCTTTTCACTGCATATTTTATTTATTTATTATGAGATTATTTTAATACAACTCAACTCTATAAATTGAATTACAAAGAACAAACTATAAAATGAGGAAAATTGAACATTTACTCGTATAATGCAGCATTTAAATCTACAATCTCAATTTTCAGTGTACCTCTACACCCGAAATAGAGGCGTAATTGGCTTTACTTGTATTCTTCTCTGCGCAATATCATTATTTGGAGCGTACATCGCCTCAATGGATTGCCTGGGGCCTGGCCTGGGCAAGGCAAGGTAGCGGCTTGAACATCCAATGAATGCAAAAGCCTCTTTTTAACTTTTACCTTAATAAGTTTCTAGGTTTTAGTCCATCAATTTATACTATAACATTTTTAACTCCTCATCTATACAAATCGAAGAAAATATATCCTTATTTTGAAAGGGGAGAGTGCGCTAGTTAGTGTAATAGAATATGTCCTCAAACAAAAAGAAAATGAGCTAGTGTTCCACATTGCAACTTTGGGACAAATTGGTGTCCTTATTTTATATTTATTTTCATTCCACTCTTCGCTCTTCACTCTTCAGCCTTCACACGTATCTGATGCGGCAAGATTGCGTTCATGTCTCGGCATGAATCCTGCGTTGAAGAGCCTCTTCTCCACCAACCCAAATAACAAAAACTTCAAATTCTACGTGGAAAAATGCAATCATCTATTGAAAAGCATCTCGAGCAAAGGCTCAGTCAGGGAAGGAACCCTACTCCATGGCCATCTACTCAAGATGGGCATCTCTTCAGAGAGATACGTAGCTGTCAAACTATTGATCATGTATCTTAATTTCAGGAAACCAGCTGAAGCGAATGAGATTGTGAAGAAGTTCAATGGGTTTGATGCCGTTGTTCATAATTGTATGATAGATGCTAATATCCGGTGGGGTAATATAGAGGAAGCTCGTAGACTGTTCGATGAAATGCCTGAAAGAAATGAGGTGTCCTGGACAGCTTTGATTTCGGGTTTTATGAAACATGGGAGAGTGGAGGAATCAATGTGGTACTTTGAAAGGAACCCATTTCAGAGTGTGGTTTCTTGGACTGCTGCGATAAGTGGGTTGGTGCAGAACAGGTCTAGCTTTGAAGCACTGAAAGTTTTCCTGAGACTGCTTGAATCTGAAACCAAGCCTAATGAAGTTACTTTCACGTCTGTGGTAAAAGCTTCTTTAGAGTTGGGTAATTTTCGGTTTGGAATGAGTATTATAGGGTTGATTGTTAAATTTGGTTTTGAGAATTATTTATCAGTTTCTAATTCTTTGATTACGTTGTGCTTGAGGATGGGTGAAATTGATTTGGCAAGAAGAATATTTGATAGAATGGAACAGAGAGATGTTGTTTCTTGGACTGCAATTCTAGATATGTACGTAGAGATGGGAGATTTAGGAGAAGCCCAGAGAATCTTCGATGAAATGCCAGAGAGAAATGTAGTATCTTGGTGTGCAATTATAGCTAGATACAGTCAGAAAGGATATCCTAAAGAGGCATTGAAGCTCTTTCGTCGAATGTTTGAAGAAGGGTTTAAGCCAAACGTCTCTTGTTTATCCAGCGTTCTTAGTGCGTTAGCTACCCTTGAGAACTTGCGAGCAGGGCAGAACATCCATGCACAAATTCTTAAAACTGGGATTGATGGAGATATCTTCATTGATAGCTCTCTCATAGACTTTTACTGTAAATGCAGAGAAACGAAAGATGGAAGAATGGTTTTTGATTCAATTACAGAGAAGACTGTGGTTTCATGGAATTGTATGGTTGGAGGGTATAGCTTGAACGGCCAAATGGAAGAAGGTAGAGACTTGTTTGACAAAATGCCTTGTAGAGATAATGTCACTTGGAGTGCCATTATTGCTGGCTATGTAGAAAACAAGGAGTTTGATAAAGTTTTTGAACTATTCAATGAGATGCTATTGTCAGGGGAAACTCCAAACTCTTCCACCTTCTCGAGTCTGCTTTGTGCTTGTGCTAGCATGGCCTCATTAGAGAACGGCAGGAACCTGCATGGGAAGTTGATAAAGGTTGGGGTTCAATATGATGTTTTCTTGGGTACTGCCTTGATTGATATGTATGCTAAATCTGGAGATATTGAGAACTCTAAGCTGGTGTTCGATAGAATGCCAAAGAGAAATGAAGTCTCATGGACAGTAATGATTCAGGGGCTTGCAGAAAGTGGTTTTGTTGAAGAATCTCTTGCATTGTTTGAAGAAATGAAAATAACTTCATCAATAGCTCCAAACGAGCTCATGCTTGTATCAGTTCTATTTGCATGCTCTCACTCTGGATTAATTAATAAAGGACTCCAGTATTTCAGATCTATGGAGGCAGTGTATGGTATAAAGCCAAAGGGGAGACACTATACCTGTGTAGTAGACATGTTGTCACGATCAGGACGCCTCTATGAAGCAGAAGAGTTCATCAATAACATGCCATTTCAACCTGAAGCTAATGCATTTGCGGCTCTATTAAGCGGTTGTAAGACATATAAAAATGAAGAGATTGCAGAGAGGACAGCCCAGAAACTCTGTGAGTTGGCAGAGAAAGGCTCGTTTCTCTCTGCAGGATATGTCTTGTTGTCAAACATATATGCTTCAGCGGGCAGATGGGTTGATGTTTCAAATATAAGGAAACTAATGAAGGAGAAGGGATTGAAGAAGAGCAGTGGTTGCAGCTGGGTGGAGGTTAAGAACCATGTACATTTTTTTCATTCAGAAGATGGAACCCACTGGAAATCACCTGAGGTTTATGAAATGTTAGAGCTCTTAAGATTTGAGATGGTTCAATAAAATATCTAACATGAATTGACAGTTCTGCCTCCATACATGCCTTGAGATGAGGGTTTTTCAAGGAAATTCATGCTGCATCTCTAGTCTAATTGTAAGACACTCTTTTATAGTTTTGAGTGGCATGTAAAGGGTGACAGACACGGTACAATGTACAGTTGTAGCAGAAAATTCAGCATTCTCAACAAGGGAAGTTAACAGGAAACAGTATCTTAGCAGTTTCAGAAATTGTCAAGATATTAATTGTGCAAGTGTCAACAAGGAGAAAGATTTTTCTTTCTGCAATTCAAAAGCAAGAATATGTGCTGGTGTTCGTGAGTGCTTCTGTGTGTATTTGTGAGAAAGAGAGTCTCTCCTTTTTAAATGATTTCTCTTCCTTGACCATGTGCTAGAATAGTGATTCCTCCAATAGCTTTGTGTACTCGTGCTGGATGTCCTTCAGTTCTGTTAGAAGTTGCTGGACCTGCAGCAATTGCAAATGAGAAACAGAATTAGTAGACAAAGCTTTATGCCACATTAATTGATTTGATCTGGAGGCCACTGTTTACAAAATGAAGCTAATAACGTGCTAAAAGTTTTACCGATTAAATTCTGAAACAAAATCAGACTTGAAGATTTGCACTTCTTCTCTTAGTAAGATGTTATCACATTCATCATATAAACTTGGTTACCTTTATTTTCAGTTCGTTCTCTCTCGTCTCTATTTCTAACAGCCTGCAACAAAAGGTGAGAAGTCAATAAGATGATTTGTGCTTAGCACTTTGAAATTGGTGGATTGCAGTATGAATGGGAAACAGTTAAGGTTTTGCTCATGGTTTCTCAGACCAACAATCATTTCCTTCAGCATTAACTATGTATTTTAACTCAACCAAAAACATCCTGAATCAACCTAATACCATAATGCAGGATATCTATGAGCTCTACTCACAATAGTTGAAGTCTTTCGTTCTCTAGCAACAGATCCATCACTGCTTGATCTCCAACCTGGTTCTCAATGATGCTTTGCTGATGCGACCATAACATGGTAAGGATTGGTAGTAACAGTTCCAAATTGTGCAAGTCAGATGACTTTAGAGGAGTTAACATGAACATAAAAAAAGGTAGCATTTGGATAGATGTGCTTTTATCAATAAAACTCAAGCTGGGTAGCAAGCAGTTAGCATATAGAAAATCTGGAAACTTTTCTTTCCAGTTGAAAATCAAATGGGGATTTGTTCACAAACCTGTACTTCCCCAGGGAACCAGGTATCAGTCATAAGGGACTTGGATGCCATGTCCGTATATCTATCTGGAAATTCAATATCACCAGGATGATTCTGCTCCTTTGTCATCATACTCTGTCCTGTTGGAGTAAGATTGTGACGAGTAAGATATCCTAATCCCCAACAAATCTTTTGCATCTACCTTAGGGTCCCAGCAAATGAAATTCAAGCAACCTGTTGGTTATTTTTGACATTCATATGTACCTTGTTGGTACCTGGTTATGTACACGTCTGCAGAACTCCTCTTCCTTTTTGGGACTACAGGATCTTTTAAGGATTCCAAAGCTTTTCTAAAACCAGAAGACATGGAATTACTATGATTAGACATTGAAGGTTGTTCCAGATGACCACCAGTTCGTCTTCTTTTTTATGGTTTATAACCAATCAACCCAGCATGCAAGTGCCTGCCAAGATATTTCAGCAGACATGATAGTTGAGTTCCACAAAGCATGAGAGATATAAAGACATCCAAAGTAAAAGTGAATTTTATAAAACTTTTGAAGACTTCAAAATAAGCAACTTATCTTGAAAGTTGCCTGTTGGTTTCTTCCCAACAGTATGCAGCTGAAATCTGCTGGACCCTATTCTTGGCACTTCAAACAATGAACAAAGATTTAAACTAACCTATTTTACTGAATACTTTTCATTTAGTTTATAAATAAACAATGATTGCTGGTTTTTTTTTTTTTTTTCACATTCTCTCTTCCCAACAGGGCTTTGCCATATGAAATTGGAAACTTATTAATGCAAGTTTTCTAAGCCAAAGTAGCCCATATGACGTGGATCTGAGACCTCTTACATCCACATAAGGAGATAGCTGGGCCACCAAGTCATTAGCAGGTATTTTTGGATATCTTAATTCAGTATTAATTTATAAAAGAGCTAACGTGCAACCCTTCCAACCATTTGCAATCTTGTTCCATAGAGAAGGGGGCAAAGCGTTTGAAATAATGACGATCATAGTTAGAGCTGACTACTTTATTATGATAACTGTACGTAAATATCTTTCAACTGAAATATTTGAGAAACCATACAACTACCAGAATTATTTCAAATTTCTCACACCAATGAAAATAAGTTCTACCCATATTTGGAAAGTAAAATAACAAAAATCACTGCAACTAGTTGCTTACCAATATTCCAGACTCATTTTCTTTAGACGGTCTTCAAGCCTTTGGAAGGCTGAAGTTTTCACAAAATCCTGCTTGTTATGGGTAGGCTCAATGTAATTTACTTCCAAAACACCTGTGACGCTAATACGTGAATCATTAACTATTGACCAATATTTGATGAAATTTCTTTTATTCTTTCAAATGAGAGCTAAGAGACAACGTTCAAAAAGCATTTCTCACCAACAACCCCTCTTCCAACACTGCTTGTCCTATTTCTCATTGCTTTCCAAAATGGCTGCGGAAATATTAGAAGATGAAAAGAAAAACTTAGAGTGATAGGCAATTGCAAGTTCGAAAAATTTTTGGCCTCATTAATATTGAAAAATAATGCTATAAAAATCTGACCTAGGAAAATGCAAGAAGACATGGTTACTAAACATTAAATAACAAATTATCACAATAGACAAACTTTCTAACTAAAGCAATGATGTTACCAGTAAGTTAACTTTCTATCATCTGTATATCACTTCAATAAATCACATTTATAATTTACCATTAAAGTCAAGAAACATTACCACAGATGCACTGATAAACTGGGAGAATAAACAATGATTACTAGCAGTCTAAGAGTAAGAGGATCCTTACCAATATAAGTCGGTTTCGGTGGTAGATGCTGAAACCATGGATACTTAGAATGGGAGCTTCCTTCAAGAAACCTATGGTAGTAACAACTGCAGCCTGGAAAAAACAAGCATCAGCCTTGAGCAGAAACAACAATTACAACGAAAGGCACACATGCAACAACAATCACAAATATGCATTAGTGTGAGCTCCACCTCCTCAAGCAGAATGCCCTTATCATTTTTCAAAGATGCAAATTAGTTAATACAAACATATATTGATTCAATATCTTCAACTCAACCTTGATTAGCGTTGCACTAAGACAAACATTAAACTAAGTTGAAATGATTATGATGAAAAGTCAGAAACTCATTTCGACTTTACCTATGCAAATATCAATATTTCAGAAGGCAATTTAATACAAACCTCATCACCAATCTGAGGCTTATACAGTATGAACTCGGGATATTGGAGGTCATTGGCAATATTATGGTGCTCAACAACTCGTCCACGTAACTTAATATTGAAGGACTGAGGCAGCCGCAGATACAGTATGGATAAGTATGCCTGTACAGCTTAAAGGAGAATGCAAATTAGTGAAAATAAAACTGTTTTGTGATGATCAAGATACAAATTTTAGACATACATGAAGAGAATACTGATATCTGTAAGCTATGTGCCCATCAAAAGCTGGTATTTTCCTGTAATCACCTGCCTCAAATAATTTGAGGTCTCCATTAATGCGTACATCCTGTAATTCAAAATACAAATAGCAGGACCATGAAAATGGAATTCAAATTGCTTGTTCAGAAATAAAGGAATCAAAGAGATGAACAAAACCTCAGGATCTGAATTGAAATCTAGTTCCAAATCACCATCATCAGTTAGCCAAAGATTGTATATAACAACTTTTGTTCCATGATACCCTATATCATCAAACTGAATGTATAGTTAACAAAATTATCCATAGAAAGGGAAGAACTGGAAACAGGTGAAATGGTAGGCTTGAAAAAGAGGATTATGGCATCACTACATCAAGCAACACTGCACATATTTCAAAGGATTGAGGTCGTAACAGTTACCATATCAATAAAAAACAATTCCCCTTTTCGCTTTATTTTCTTTAAATCTTTACACTGAGAAAGTTAAACATCACTGTAAAACATTAACATCTTAAAAACAAGCAAAAACAGGTAGAAATGTTAACAGACTATTATACTGATCACCAAATATAAACCAAAAAATCCCAAAGGCATACTTGCTTCAGCAGTTCCTCTTCTGTTCTATAAGGAGACCACTTCAGCAGCAAGGACAGGTTTGAAAAGAAACATTCACTACCATGTTCAAATAAGCGCTCAAGTGATCCATTCAATGCGTTAAACTCATAATCCACCTGCAACAAGATCAAGACCTAACAATCAGTTTGATAGCAGGAATTACTAGAAACACACAGCGGAATAGAAGTCTCAAGAAATACCCATTCTTTAGAATTTTTGTTTTCCAGGAGTAGTTACAACTTACAAGTAAGTTGCCCTTTCTTTCAATTTAGTTTTGGATAAATGACAAGAACCTTCCTGTTAATGTATTGGTACAAATTGAAAAAAAGACTACTCAAACTGCAATCAGAAGGCAGCAAATGAAAGGAACTAACACAAAATACAAGCAATAGGTGAAAATGGCTGAACTCACTGTTGGTACTACTACCCTCTCAGAACTCAGTTGCCTCAGAAATGTAAAAGAGAGGAGTCCAATACTTTGAGTCATCGTCCTGCTCATGGTAATTACCAACAACTTTGACTGAGATCATGGACACTGAATAGCACTGACCAGCACTCGATATCCAAAAATGGAACAGTAACTCTTTAGGAAGAGGATTTATGCATAAAAATGGTCCAGGAGGTGTTGAAAATAAAAAGTTCAGTCTGATTATTAATGTTCCAAGGGGTGACCTCATATTTATATGGCGGCTGAAGACTATAACATCTGCTCCAAGTCTCATAGAACTAGTCTTGAAGCCATTTCCATCTGAAATGCTACCAACAAATTAATATAAAGGGCAAGGGGAAAAAAAACAAAAACAAATTAAAAACGTAGAATGAGCAGATGAAATCTATACATTGTCCAATTGCTTGTTTCATTTTCTTATCTGAAAATCCAAAGCTCATACAATGCCTTATAGCTCCCGGATCCATTCCGCCACCATCATCTTTTTCGCACAAAGCATCACAGAAATACTTAAATCAGAATGTTATCCAAGTATAGTAGGATTCCCAATGTCATTTCAAATCCTTAAAATTTATGAAGTGGCTGCAAGAAGTAGTACCTTGGATTAGCAAAGCTGGACTACCATCCCTAGGGTTTGAGATCTTGTCAATAGCTACATAAGTAGCACCATTTTGTATCTACCCCATGCAGACAATGTTAATGCATTTTAGAAGTTAAAAATGCCTGATTCTTCTAAAACAAAATTTTCACCAAAAACAAAATATAATTAAAAGAGACTCTTGCCTCATCAACAGCATTATCAGTCAATTCTGCTATGGCTAGAAAAGCAACAAAAAGAAGGAAAATATGGAATAAATGTAAGGAAATTGATAAAATGAAGGGAAAATATATAAAATAATTTTTTTTAAAAAAAATTGAACATACCACCAAAGACCCATTTGTGAGATGTGGCATTGGAGTGAAGGAACATGGGGTGCACAAGCAAATGGTTTCTCCCATCTGTTAAAAAGGAAAGTAAAGAAAAACACAAAATGAGGAGACACAGTAAGCCGGAGATATGCGGCGAGAGCAAGATACCTTTATTAGAAGAAGCTTTGAGCCGCGGCACCTCCGACCCTGTTTCATAGTTTCCAGCCTTCCAAAATTGGCGACAAATTGGTCTGGCACATAAAGCAGGTGCACCGGGAGAACCGCCTGCATCCAAAAAGTGGGAATCACCATACCAAGTGCTGCAACCATCTCTGCCACCATTCTCCTCGTATTCTTGTTCGTTTTTGGAGATCCAGAGTCTGTCATTTTCTTCGACGGAAGGATTGTCCGTCTGGTTCTGAGCCACTGACTCACATGGATCGAAACACGGAGGAATTTCACAAGGCAACGCCATTTTTCATGAGGCTACACCACACTGGTTTCGGCCAGGCCTGCAATGCCAGTGGCCAAATGAAGCTTTTTGCTGCAGAGTGTGAGGTGGCAACGGTAAACCTACGGTTACAGGACCTTTTCATAAAAACTTCCTCACAGGCCAATTTGATTGGAAACTTAAGGTTAGCATTACCGGTGAGGGAGGGACTGCCAGTTGCTTCTTACGCAAGGCGCTTTTTGCACCATGTACTCTGTACTGCAGTCATCGCCTTACAGCATTGTGCAGTTACAGGCTCATTAAAATTATTTGACTATTTTGTCCTTTTTAAATTAATCTTTTTAATTTAATAAAATAGTGTATGCCGATGAAAATTTAATTGAGTAAATACTTGTTTATATTCATTTTTGCAAATTAATTAAAAAAAAACCACATGTTTCTATTTGTTCTAAATTTGAAGATTAAGTGTAGAAGGAGAAAGAGTTAGTAGCTTTTTAGATAAGTTTGGACAGTTGTTACCACATAATTGGCGGATTAGTTGGTTTATTGCAAATTTTCAATATGTTGCCACTAATTTTCAAGATTATGTTGCAACTCTACACCACATTGCTACTGATTTAGGAGATTGTTGCAAATTTTACGTTGTCGTTGGTTTTCAAAATATTGCCAATAGAATTTCACCATGTTGCCAAGGTACTATAAATACATGATGATGAGATCAAGTAAGGATGACCTACCCCTCACACAACTAGCCCAACATTATTTATATTTTAGTTTCACAAATAATGTCTTAATTTATATCTAATTTTCTTAAACAACTTTTCTATTTTATTCTTTAACTCTATGCTGCCATCAATGTTTTGAAAATCGGACCGGATCAATCGGTTGAACCGATCAGACAGATACCCGATAATGGAAATAGCTTAGGTTAATACTTAAAACCGTTTAAGGGATTAAACCGCTCAAAACCATCCCAACCGATAAGAACCAAAAAACCATCCAACCAACCAGGCCAATTATTTAGAGAAAATTTGCAAAGTTTGTTGCTGCCGCTAGGTCTTGAACACGAGACCTCCTTAGGTTTGGACAACTCTTTTACTATTAGAGCCATTGAACTTTTCATGAAATGAGTAACAAAGACTGTATTTTAAAAAATATTACAAGATTAAAGGAAATACTCATAATCATTATCATGAGTTCGAACACTTACCCTTTCATATATTTAGAGTAACTTCTTCCACCTGATCTGAATCAAATTTATTGGTTCTTATTGTCTTGAGATTTATTTATTATAATAGAATTATATACATGAATAAATTTGACACATTTGGGATTTAAACTCTAGTTCTATATGACATAGACAAGCGTTCCAAGCACTAGAGCTACCTTTTTCCTTTTGCAAAGAATTGCATTATATTATATTTAACATATACTTCCAAAATTCAATCAACTCGATTTTTTACCTAGTTAAACCGATTCAACCGTTAGAACTGTGAACCATAGGTTAAAACGGTTTGACCTCTGGTTTGGTTTTGAAAACCTTGGCTGCCATTAATTTTAGTTATAGTTTTTATTATTTCATTGTGAACATCTCCATTAATGTCTTTAGTTTCTTGCAATTTAATTTACTGCACTTTACCCTAAATTCATCTTCCTATTTTTTTTTTTAATTTAGTTTTATGCTTTAGCTTTTATTTCAATTTTTACGCTTTTATGCTTTTGTGGTGACATTACGCTTCCTCTCTGCAATTTAGTTTTCTTGCCATGCACTCTATTTCTTATCTTTTCCTTTATTTTTCTCTTTTATTTTGATCGACAAACTAATATTTGGGCCCTAGCTGTGGGGAGTCCCTAATGTTTTTCCATGGTAATTATTTATGGACTTTTATGCAGAAATGCATCCATGTTTCTATGACAATCATCTGACCAAGGTGCATTTAATAATTTATTTAATTAGTGCTGTTCCATTGACTCGTAGCCGAGTTCCACGCTTGGAATTATTAAGAGTCACCGGGAATTACTCTTTCTCACTTTGAGTAAAATGAGTGGCACGCATTTGTAGTTTTATCTACCATGCGATCAGACAAGGAGATTTTAAAGATAATAATATTCATTAATTTAAATTTTTTTACAATATGGGTTGTATAATGAGAAGTAATCATCTTCAATCCCTTATCTCATTCCATCAGCATGCCATGCGAGTTCATTTTAAGCAGATTATTATTGATTATTGAATTATTTAGATCATTGGTCACTAACTTTTTGTTAATATTTAAATCCTACAATACTAAACAACTAATTTTTTATGTACTAAAAAAATAAATAACTTATACTACAATCACTTGGCAGAACCCTCAAATCCACCCTCAAAAAATATTGGTAGGGACACATCCACCCCTCGAAAAAAGGCAAGGACAAATTGCCCCTCCAAATTATAAATCAATACAAATAACTCCTCTTTTAACGTTTTCCGTTAAAAAATGAACAGAACTCTGACGTTTTTCGTTAAAAAAAGGGTGATTTGTATTGATTTATAATTTAGAGGGGCAATTTGTCCCTACTTTTTTTTGAGAGGTGGATATGTCCCTACCGATATCTTTTGAGGGTGGATTTGAGAGTTTTGCCCAATCATATTATAATATTTTTAAATATTACAATTTAATTGATATATAAGTCATACCCTTGCTTCCTTTCTCTCTTCAACTCCTCTCAAATTAAG